ATTGCAAAAGTAATTTCAAGAACCTTAATAAAGTACTAGCGTGACTGCTTAAGTTAAAAAAAAAAAAAAAAAAAAAAAAAAAAATATCTCTTGATATTTTTTATTGTATCCCTTACCTTAAAACCATGTATTGTACTTCAACTATAGACTTTCTTCATATATGTCTACTTGTGCTAAAATTGAGTATTTGAATAAATGGCCATTAAGTTAGTATATTCTAATTTCAGGCATTATCTATTATAAAATCACATTTTCCAACTTATTACAGTATTAAAATCTGTTTTTATGCAACTATAATAAACTATTTTATTGAAAAAAAACATTACATAAATGATTTGTTGAAACTACATTTTTGTCTAATTATTTTCTTGATTTTTTGAACATTTAGGTCTATAATGTCTGTACTTGCCACAATTACCACACTGATTTTGACGCTTAGTCGACTTCAATTCTTCTGCTCTTTTGATTCGTTTAGAACTTTTTGGGCGTCCTTTTGCCTTACGCTTTATGGGATTTTGAAGAAATATACTAGTCAAATCATTTTCTTTGTCATCTTCATCATTGTGTAAGTTGTTATTACTACTACTGCATGTCTCTTCATTATCATTCTCAGTTGAGCTGCTTACTAACACATCCTCTTGCATTTCAGTTAATAAATCCTGTAGCTTTTTTAAAATATCTTGCCTGTGAAATCGAACAGCCTTTTGTGTTATATCTCGCACAACTCCCCATAATTCTCCATACAATTTTCGTTCATTAATATCATTCTTTCTTTCATTTCGAAGGTCAACCAGAGGTGTAAATAATTTGTTTGTACTATATTTCATTAGTTTTGATGGATATTGAGAGTAGCTCTTACTAAACCATGTGGCTACAATGTAAGGCTTTTCTTGTAAATTACTATGAATGTCTTTGTACCATCTTCTGTGAACATGTGTAATATGAAATGCAGCTACAGGACTACATAACATTACTTGAAAAAAGTGTTGACATACTATTCCACGATTTACAAATCCTAGGCAGGAACATACATAGGTTTTATCAAATAGAAGAATAATAAAATGTCAGAACGTCGAATTTGTTATTATACGGATTGCCCAGACTTCTTCTATCTCATTAACATCTACATTTTTTAACATATAATTTACGGAAATCTGCATTACATCTTCATCGTCTTCAATAAACTGAGTATCATCAGGTTCAGGCTTAAATAAAAAAGTTCTATAAATATAGTATCACTTATAGAGATATAAGTGCAATGCTATAACTTGCTATAATTATAATGAATTATGGCATTTTTTGCCATAATCCATTATAATCATACAAGTTATAGTATTATGTTCACACCTCTAATTACTTGAAATACTGTTACCAAAAACAATATAATACATACCTCTTGATATTTAATTAACTCATCCTTTGTAATCATAGACGCCTGATATTTTAAGCAACTTTTAATTTCAACACGTTGAACTTTTAGCATCACAGGTGTAAGAAAATGATACAAAGCATTATCAACTTCAGGAAATAATGCTTGTGGTAGTGTAATAACAGAAGATGTTAATGGAATTTGTGTTTTCCAATAAATATACTTTGCTTTTTTAATCTCTTCACTTATATTTGTATCCAAAACTTTAGCAAGCTCAACAAGACAAATACTGGAGTTTAAAACAAGTCATTTGATTTGTGCATTATAACTTTCAACTCGTGATGTTGTCTGTACATCTGCTGTAAAAACTTTTGCCATATACGCACGTGCCCATGCTTTTTTTGATGAATGCAATGTTCGCAAATACTTGGCCACCCTAGGTTCATTATACTTTTCACTTAATAGTGCCCACTTATGTTCAAAGATTTTTGGAATTAGTGAATTCCGAGCCTTATAAAAGTCTTTAATAAAATCATGATACCTTTGACCCAACCAGGTCTTGAGATTTCGAGGGAGATTTTGTGAAATATAAAAAATACAGTGCATAGCATATGATTTTTCATATTCTTCAGAAATTGCAAGGTCCAAGGCTGGATCGGCATCGGTCATGATAACATCAGGCACACAACTGCCTGTAGCTTTCTTTGTCTGGCGTAAAACCCACCAGTAAGAGTCTGCTGACTTATCATCTATAAGTGCACAACCAACTAATCGAGAAGACCCATGATTGTCAATACACAAAAAGAGGGAAAGCGCCATATCATAGTGATTTGTTTTTGTGGTATTATCGTTTAAAACAATATCGCCAAATTCCATCCATAGAATAATTTGATCAGGGGACATCCAAAACAGTCTCTGAAGAATATGTGTTTCCCTGTCCCAATCAATCGCAATATACCAACGAGGGTCTTCGTTCTTTTTTTTTACTAAATCCTCATACAAGGATACAGCATCATTCGAAATATCCTTTCGCTTTTCACAATAAAATTTTGCAGTTACTTTGTAAATTTCAGAAAGGTAGATTTCATGATCAGGAAACTCCTTTTGCAGAGCCTTCTGAATTTGTAGTGGTTTAAGCTTAACCACATTTAAGTAAAACTCCACCCGTTCATGTATTTCTTGAGTAAATGCATTATCATTAAAAAACTTCATTCTATAAGGAGACAGATTATGATTATGTTTATTATTCAACATTGTAATATAAATGATTCCATTAGGATTGTTCTTGATTGGTTGTGATAAATTTACGTGCCAAGGGCATTTTATGTATTTGGTGTTTGTTTCTTTAACTAATGTGTTTTTTGGTTTGTATTCATCGCTATGCTCACAAAGCATTGTTCATTTCTATATAATCTTGTCAGAAGTTTTTTCGCAACGATCTTTCCTTAATCCAAACCCTTCTTGTTGTGCATACACTTTTATTATATCATATGCTTCGTCCCAACTTCTAAACTTCAATCCTTTATACAGTTTTTCCTCAGAAGAACCCAAATCTATGTCGCTACTTTCACAAGCAGAAACTACGGAATCGTATGTCAACTCATTAAACTCAGGATTACATGTCAGCTCACTGAATTCAGAACCATATGTTGGCTCACTAAACTCAAGGTCAATATCATTAAGATTAGATATACTCTCATCATGTACTATCTAATTAGTATAAGTATGATAAATAGAAATAAGTAAGAGTATAAAAATCAGTAAAATATAACTATTACTGTTATTTACCTCTATTTAAGTCAAGTTATATGATATTTTAAGTGAATGCTGCGAGGTTTTAGTGTTACTTAGCAATTGTAATTTGCTTTTTGATATTAAATTTTCTGATGTATATTTGTGATCAGTTGGTCTGCGTCGCTAGATATGTTTTGTCACTGGATTACTTAGCTTTATATTCAAGGATTTTTTTTTTTTGCAAAGTGCATTGCTAAAAATGTGCATCTACTTTCTAATAACAATACCCAACTTGTTTGCTTCAATGTTTCTCCTTTAGGTTATTTATAATGTTACGTTGTGTCTTATAAAAATTCAAAGTTTTTTTTTTTATGAAGTGTGTGCCTGGCATTTTCTTTTAATTGACAATAACTAGTTGATTTGCTTTAACTTTTCTTCTTTAACTTGTTTGTAATTGTCAACCAAGTTAATTTCATGAAAGTTTAAAAGTTCAAAAATTTTTTTGCAAGTTAATCAGGTATATATCAATATGCACTTATGTAAATACGCCAGATGCCAAAAATCATTAATATAATGTGAATCATCACAAGGTAAAACAGCCAGGGCGGCCCCCTAAAGTGCCAGTGACGTAAGATCAATTAGTGCATGATAGCAATTGTACATTGCAATACATATATATATACTGTGGCTATGCTATGATTACTTCACTAGCACTTTGGGGAGGCTACTCTGGCTACTTCTCACAAGGTGGCACTAATTCATATATGCAAGTTAAAGGCCAATTAAAATACATCATGTGGTGCATCATTTAGGGGATGCATAACCGTGCAGGTGCACAGAAAACATTTTCCCTTAAAAAAAATTATAAAATAGAAGTTATTAATTTAGATTACAAAGACAAACTAATAAAGCTAAAAAAAATATATATAACTTGTTTTTAACTAATAATAGAGCTACTAGCTAATAATTGTAAAGTTGCATTGCCTGATAGATATTATGTTATAAATATTATTACTAGTAAATGTAAGAAATGCTTAAGTTATATTTTAAATAAGTTGTTTTATAATGTTTGCAAATATTGTTATGCTAAAAGAATCTTTTCTATATTATAAACAAGTACTATAAATATAACAAATGTAATGAAATATAAACTTATTAATTATTTTAAAAGTAAAGAACAAGTTATATTTTCTGATAAAAAAAATAATACAATTTATTTAGAATCTACTAAAAATGCATATAAAGAAATAATTCATTTTTATAATAATAAAGGTATGTTTATTAATAGTATAAATTAATTACAAAAAATAAATTAGTCTAATCTAATTTAAATATTTTTTTTTTTCAGTATTAAGATGACCTCTTTAGTCTAAGCTTTTTATTAATACTTATATCAGATATATGTTTTATATAGACATATCTATAATGAACTATTAGACAAGTGTACAACTAGCTATATGTATAACTTTTCTATATTACCTATTTAAGGAGTCTGCCTAAGAGTTCCTTACCAGTTGCTGTACCTAACACCTCTGCTTAGGTATTCTATTTAAACTCTTTGATTTAACCCTGATATTAATTTTACCAGGTTACAGACCCAGATCTATTCACTATCAACCATAGAACTATAATCCTTAGATTATTTTTATTCTTGAGGTAAACCTATCAGAGTGAGCTGTATTTTCTTTTACTGCTAACCTGGTTTAATGCTATGGCCAAGACCAATACTTGCAGTCAGAGTTACCTCTTAGACTGCTATTACCTTTGTATAGTTCACCCAAACCCTGATACTTATCTTTCCAACTTCTTTATCATCATCTCTTACTAGTCACAACTTAGAACTAACCAACTTCCTAGACTTCCAATCCAGATAGCCCAGTATGGTATACTTATGTATCCTTTTCCTCTGATGATTCTAACAGCCTGGTTGGTTATATGCTCCTCTACACATCTTTGTTATTTGGTTTATCTGATAGTTTCTATGAAGGTGTTTTATGGGCTTCTATCAGTCCAATAGCACTATCAAAAGTTTGTACTACTTCTTTACTCAGAATTTTCAAGTGAGTTTCCATCTCTTTGGTTTCTTAGCCTTCTACACCCAAAGGTCTTATCATGGATTTGCATTGAAGCCTTATATGATACTAGTTTTCACATTTCTCTATATACATGTACTATGTAACATTATACTTCGCATAGATGCTCTGAGCTCCTAATGTCAGATGGGGCCTGACTTGGTGTATCTAAGATTACAGATGCCCAAAACTCAACTGATCAGTAGAGACAATTATCATAACACAGGTATAATTTCCAAAATTCATCATCTGTGGGAATTGAATCTTAGATCTGCCACTTGGGGGTTAACAACCTATCCACTTCACTAGATTGCCACATCTCATCTAATTTAAATATTATAGATGCACAATTCTTTTACTTTTTTAAAAAGAAATTAAATGTTTATACAGATTCTTTTAGACTAGTAGAACTAAACCAACAACAATTAGTAAATAATAGCTCATCTTTAAAACCTTAGCAAAACTATACAAACCTAGTTATATTCTATATACAATTCAATCTTAAGATGCAAATAATAAAATTTCACTACCTTCAGTTTAAAAAAAAAAACATCAAGTATTAAAAAAGCAAAATGCAAGATTAAAGTAAATTAAATTTATTTTTTAAAAAAAGAAAAAATTAATATTGAATTTTATTTAAAATTTAAAAATTACTTAATTTTTTTTGTATATATCATAAATTTTTTTTATAAAAAACAGCTCAAAATAATTACAACTTATAGTCTAACAGAAGAAATAATAGCAGAAGATGAAATAGATCAAGATGAAATAATATTACTATTAATATGACATCTCTTTTATAACCTGTTATTAAAAAAAATACAGAAAGATAAAAGGCTAAGATATGGTTAAACAGAAAATCAGAGAAGAAATCCATTGTAACAATATTATAAGCTATCATCAAGCAGCAATTATATATGCAGATAACACAACATGAATTGTAAATAACAAAGAATAGCTATTGAAAATCTTAAAAATAACAAAAGAGCTTTTCAAAATAAATAATATAGAGATAAATAGTTCTAAATCAAAACTGATAATAATGAATAGAAAAATTAGAAAAGAGAAAAAAAAAATAATATTTAGAGATAGTAAGATAATAAAAGAGCCAAAAAATAAAGTAATTTATTTTTTAGAAATCTGGTTAAACAACAGAATGCAAGAAGTTATAGTAAGGAAAAAAGCAAAGAGGATAATAAGCCAAATAATAAAAGACCTTAAGTATAAGAAAATAACAATAAGCCAAATTATATATATAAATAATACAGTAATAATACTGAAGCTAAGCTACATACTACAATTAATAAAGTTGTTAGAAAAAAAAATAAATAAAATATATCAGCCAATAATATATTTGGCAAAACAAAAAAGCAATTTACTAAAAATATTAGAAAATTATATAATAGAACACAAGAATATTGGCAGTTGCAAAACCTTGTGACAAAAATTAATAATAAAACAAATAGGCAGCTTGGTAGCAAGAATAAATAGAAAAAATGAATTAGAACAATTAACAAAATTAAGAATAACACAAAGATGCCAAAAAACAAAATTAACAAAATATATAGAAATTAAAGAAGCTGTCAGAAGATAAGTTATATTGAAAAAACAACTTAGCTTGCTTGATAATAGTTAAAACAAGAGAATTGTAAATAAATATCAGTATAGAAAAAGAGCTTTGAACATTAAATAGTTATGATCTGACAATAGATAAACTAGTAAAACACAACTATGAAAAAGAAGTAAAGCTAAAATAAGTAAAACAGAACTAATATACTTAAATCAGCTGCTTAATACAAGAAATAAAAGGCTAATAATATAGCAGTAACTTAAAAATTACTAAGAATAATTAAGTAGAAAGAAATAAGCAGAATGGTTTAAAATAATAGAAGAAAAAGTGCTTATTAGATCAAAAAGCAAAAAAATTAAAGAATACTTTAAAACAGATGAACATAATATATAAGCAATAAAAATTAAATAAAAAAAAGTCTATCAAATAACAAAACAAAGAAAGAATAGGTAATATATAAAATAGAAGATACTAAACAATTAGAAAAAATAGTGAGGCCTTACTAGAATGGCCTTAAAGGCTAACCTGAATAGCCCTCTAGCAATGAGTAACAACTCATACTAGTGTAGCAGGCTGCCTCTAAGCATTAGTACAGTAGCTAGAAGATATCAAACCTAGAAATTAAGCTAATATTTGTATAATCAAACATGCAATTCTCTTAATAAAGGATATTGGCAAGGCTGCCAAAGTTTAAAAAAAAAAAAAAAAAATTTAGAAAAAATAGTTAAAAAGAAAAAAAAAGATACTAATAGAACACTAACAAATACAAAACCTAAAAAATAATTTAACAACTAAAATTAGCAGATGCAAGGGTTGTATAAGAGAAAAAATAGCAGAACAGAGTTGTCAAAATTGAATAAGAATTAATAATATGATAAAAACAATTACAAATGCACTAGTAAAAAGAAGCAATAATATAATCAAGATAGTCATAGTTTAATTAACAGAACACAATAGAAAAAGAAAGCTAAGAAAAAATAAATAAATCCTAATAGGACTTAAAATGCTAGAATGTATAGAAATTAAGTTAGACAAAAAGCAGAAACTAAAGAAGAACATTACTAAAGAAATAGTAAAAATTTTGAAAAAAAACATATTAAGAAAAAAAGACAAATATACAATATACACAGATGGTATAGCAAAAATAAAAAATAAAGAAGAAATGACAGATAAAAACATAAGAATAGAATAGGTACAAACAAATGAGACACAAGATTGGTTAAAAGAAGAGATAGCATTAGGAGTTAAAGAATAGCCAATGTTAACTACAGCTGAGCTAATAGCAATATGGACAGCAATTCTAACAGTATCAGAAAAGAAAAATTTAAAAATATTTACAGATAATAATGCTATAATTTGAAATATTTGTAGAGGTATAGAAAATATAAACATTAACAGAATTCTTAAAAAGAAAAATTCTTTATAAATAATAATAATAATTAACTTAATTAGAATAAATAATATATGAATAAAGTGGTTTAAAATAAAAAGTTATAGTAAAAACAACTAGAATGATAAAGCTGATAATTTTGTAAAAAAGTAAATATTAAATAGAAAGATAATATATATAAAAGAAGTTAGTTATAAAGAAATAAAGTATTGTCTAGAATAAGAAAACAAATGAATAAATATATTAGCAAACCTTTTTTACAAACTAATAGCAAATGCCAAGCTAGATGCAAAGTAGAGAAAAACAGTAGCAATCAAGAATCTAGAACCAGTAACAAAAGTAACAATATATGATTAGATATACTTTTAGTAAAAGTTGAAATCAACTAAAGAAGTGCATTGCATAACAAAAAAAAATAGTACAAAAAGAAGTGCTTTTATAAAATATGTATTAGACAAACTTCTGATCTTAAAGAACTTAATAAAAGAAAACCAAATATATATAACAGCAGAATGTCAGATCTGTCAAGATAAAATTAAAGAAATACAAGAACATCTGGCATTGTGTACAAGACAAGCAAGTCTTTGAAGAAAAATACAGAAAGTATCAATTGCAGCAGCATAAAAAGGATTAAAAAAGAAAAAAAAGTTCAAATTATACCTTATATATTATAAACAGCACTTTTTGAAAAGACAGAAATAGAAGAAGTAGAAATGAAAAAAGTGCTAATCAAGAGCCTAATTTCAAAAACAACTCAAGACAAATTAATGCAATTTCTGAACTCAAAAACAAAACAGCAATTTATAAACATAGTAGCAAAAACAGTCTGAAACACTTTCTATAAGCAAGTTTGAAGAACATAATATGAAAAAAGTTATTATATAGAAAAAAGAAATAGAAATAATTAGCAGAGCAAAAAAAAAAAACTAAAAAAAAAAGAAGAATTCAAATAAAAAGAAAAAAGCTAATTAGCAAGAAATAAAAAAAAGAAAAAAGAAAACTAAAGAAAAAGAAAAATAAATTGAAGATAAAGCTAGAAAAATAATGTTGAGACTTGTTATAAAAGAGAGATGACCTTTTTATTATAAACTTTAAGTAGTTAGACAAGTAGCTTACTTCTGCTTGAAGTAATATAGCAGGTTGCACTTAGGCATCATTAGAGTAGCTAAACAATACTAGACTTAGTTGTTAGATACATCTATGTAATTGTAATAGTTATTTCAAAAATCTTAATAAAGTACTAACATAACTGCTTAAGAAAAAAAAATACTTATATAATACAAAGTTCTTTTTTAGTAACATAATTTTACAACAAACTAATATATATACTATATATATTTACTAGTTTTATTTTAGAGAAATTTATATTTAAAGACACAAAAATAAAAATAATTACAGATGAGAGCCCAAAATAAAAATTTTTATATATAATAGTCTAAAATCAAAAATTATTACAAATAAGAGCCTGTTTAATTTTCAAGCTATACTAAAAGATTAAGCTACAAAGCTTATATAGTATTATTTAAAAAAAAAGGTAGCCAAATTATAATAATTATACAATATTCACTAAAATAACAGGTGCAAATAATTTTTTTATATGAAAAAACTAAAGATATTATTCATGAATCTTATTAACAAACTTATGACTTTACAAATTTTAATATATTGATAATTAAATAATACAAATACAAAGATATAGTTGCTATATTATTTTAGACATTAAAATTTTTTGTATTTACTAAATAAATTAATATTACTAAATAAAAAAAAAAATATAAAATATTCATGAATTTAAATAGTTTATTTAAATAATCAATCAAAACAAAGTTAAGAGAAGATCAAAGTCAAGATAAAAATTATAGTAAAAGCAAATATGTAAATTAAAGTGAAAGTCAAAGTAAAGAAGAGTCAAAGTGAAAATTAAAATGAAGCTAAAATAAAAATTAAAGTCAAAGTAAAAATAAAAATAGAATCAGTTCTAATATTTATTATTACTATATTAAGCATGATAGACAAAAAACCTGACTACTATTTTTTTTAGATAATACTATGTATATAAGTTTTATAGCTTAGTCTCTTAGTATAGCTTAAAGATCAGACAGGCTCTTATTTGTAATAATTTTTGATTTTGAACTGTTATATATAAAAAATTTCATTTTGGATTCTTATCTATAATTATTTTTATTTTTAGGCCTTTATATATAAATTTTCTTTATTTTATTAATTAGATTATTTATATAAAACTTTTATATAAGCTATTTTAAAAAGTTTATGAATAAATATAAAAACTATATTGTACAAAACTAACATAATAGAAAAAAAATAATATCTTATAATATACTAAAAATAAACAACAAAAAAATTTTTTTTATATAAATTAATTATAATAATATATACTATATTAACAAACATTAATTACATAATACAATTTGCAATTTATATAAACTATTAAGCTTAAAATATACTGATTCAAATATTATGCTTTGTATAAAATTATTATATAGCTTAACTATTAAATACTTTATAGTTATCTTACAAATAATATTTTATATTATCAAATATAAATAAAGTTTAATTATTTTAGTAGATTTAAATTTCAAATAAATTAAATAGATAACAGTTAGTTTCTTTTTATAATCTGAGCTTTATTTTTGTAATAAATTGTAATTAGAATAGATTTTATAATTTATAATTAAAGAAGCTTTTAAAATTATTTTCAACAAATTAATAAAGATATGAGCAAAACCTTACCTTAATTTTAAAAAAATAAAACTTTAGTACAAACTCACAATAAGACTATAGATATAAAAAACTAAGAAATTATAAAAACAAAGCTTAATTAAAATTCTAACTAAAAATATAGTACAAACTTGCAATAATGCTGTTAAACTAATAAATGTTTATGAAATATCTAAAAAAATAGACAGATAAACTAGACAATTAGTATATAAGAGAAGCATATATACAATTAGACTATTGAAATTATTAAAAAAAAAGATATATAAGTATATTACATTAGACTATCTGAATTAGTAGTCTAAAAAATTTTATTAGTTCTAAATAGTATTTAGTATAAAATAACAAAAAAGATGTTAAAAAGATAAATATTAAAGTTTAAATAACTTTACAAAAATATAACAGTTTAATGATTAACTTTAACTGCAAGTATTAGTTTAGACCAAAGTAATACTAAGTTAACTGTAAATATAAGATACAGAAAACTTTAGTAAGTTTAGTACAAAGTTAAGGATTTTATATATATATGAATTACTTTAAAGACTTCATAACTATAATATATTTGTATTAATATTAATTAGAGCAATTAGTAAAATAGTTAAATAATAAATATAAAAACTAGAATATTTAAATAAAGAATTTATAAACAAGTTTAAAATATAATAACAAATATAAAATTTTCAAACAAACTACTTAAATTAAATAATAATTAAAATTGTATAAATAACTAGTTATATACTTTTCTTTATAATTGATTCTGTAGTTGTTATACAAACAACTATTAGCTAAAATATACTATTAAAATTCCAAATTGTATCTTAATATTAAAAAATATATATATATAACTTACAGTTGTAGAGATAGGGTCTCATAGCCTAGTGGTATAAGTACTCTTTTCTCTACAGACAAGATTAACAGTTTAATTCTAACAAAAGTCAAAAATTCTATAATCTATGGAAGTATATAAATATATGCAAAGCTCTGTGATTAAGTTCATATAAATAGAAAATCAGTATATAAAAAAGTTCTTGGAAAGAAATTTTCCTTTTTTTTTATATTAAGAGCAGTCTTGCCTGCATGTCTTTTTTATTAGTAATAGTATAAGATTACATATTATATACAGAGTATATCAATAAAAGTACAACTAGTCATATGTATAACTTTAGTCATTATCTAATTAAGGGTTCCGCCCATAGATTACCTACTAGATGTCATACCTAAAACCTGCCTATGAATCCCCTATTTAAACTTTCTGATTTTCAACACTTAACTGCATATATATACAATGTATATTACTATGATTATGACAGAACAGGTTAGGGCTATCTAATTTCTATTTATATCTAAGTACCACCTCATTGGATGTTACTAAGTATCTATAGTCCTTTCGAATTTACCTTCGACACAAACTTACTAAGTATGGTACTAAGATTACCCCTTAAATTTATCTAATTTAGTATATCTTGTATCTACTAGAACTGGTTTAGTGCCAGAAGTGTTCGAATTTCGGAAAGTACATTTCTTTTCTATAGTTTCCTTTTATGTTCACCGTATTACCTGCTAGTGTGCCTTCTCTCTATTTCTGGTATGTTCATCGCTTCTCTCGTATCGAGCGCCAACTCTCCATATTGGGAAACTTTTTTCTGGGAACTTCCTTGTATACTGATCTTCTAATCACAAGGACTTAGCCACAGGGCTTCACATACATTCATTTGCTTCTGTAGATTACAGAGTTGCCTCCAGCTGGGATTGAACCGTTGACCTTGTCTGTGGAGTGAGGGGCGCCTAGACTACTAGGCTACAGGATCCCATCCCAGAAAGAAATTTCCTAATATAAAACATTAGTATTTGATATAAAAAAAATAGTAAATATACTAAAAATAAAGAGAAGATGTACTAGCAGATAATATAATAAACATAAAAGGAAATTATAAAAAAAAATAAACTTACTAAAATTTGAATACTTCTAACATTGAAACCAATTTAGTAGATACAGGATATACTAAATTAAATCTAAGTAGTAATTTTGATACTAACTTAGTAAGCTTGTGTTAAAGATAAATTTAAAAGAATATAGATACTTAGTAATATTCAATAAGGTAATATTTAGATATAAATAGTAACTAAAATAACTCTAATCTGATATGTTACTATAATAGTAATGTAAATATTGCATATATATGCAATAAGTGTTAAAAATCAGAAAGTTTAAATAAAGAACTCACAAGCAGGTCTTAGGTATGACATCTAGTAGGTAATCTATAAGCAGAACCTTTAATTAAATAATGACTAAAGTTATATATATGACTAGCTATACTTTTGTTGCTAGACTATTGTATATAAAATATATAATTATATATTACTTAATAAAAACATACAGACAAGATTGCTGCTTTAAACTAAAAAAAAAAAAATTACAGTTGTGTAAACAAAAAATTTTTTTACTTACAACTATGCAAATAAAAAAATTTATTTACATAACTGCAAGTAATTTTGTTCTAAATTTTAAACACTGCTTATAATTGATAAATTTTATTGTATTACTAAATTCATATAATAAATAATCTACTTTTAAATTAAAAAATTTTAAGTTAAAAATTTGTATTTCTAAAATTTTCTATTTAATTTTAAAAAATCTTATATTTTATTTTTAAATTTTGTTATGTTTTACTAACCTTTTTATTATGTAATTTACTCTTGCAACTTATAACAAATTTTATATCTATTACAAAATCAAAAAAATATTTAAAATGTAAAAACAGACTCTTTTAATACAAAACATTTCATATATCTGATATATTAATTTATTTAAAAAATAAATAAATATATTTATATACAGTCAGACCTTCCTAAATGCACGTCGTCGGGACCGGCTCTAAAACGTGCATTTAAAAAGGGTTGCAATTAGAGAACACTAATAAAATCACAATAAACCTATTATTTCAGCATTAATCTTCTAGAAATAATTAATTGATTGGCTAATAATCACGTGCTAGTAGAATTTTTATGGCGATGCTGGGGAAGATTATGTAGCATGCACTTACAGAATAAAGAACGTGCATTTATCTATAAATCCCACCATGGGCCCGGACTTATATCATGCATTTAAAGGGATGATGCATTTAGAGAGGGTGCATTTAGAGGGGTCTGACTGTATTATACGTATTCAACAAATTTTTATTAATATATTTTATTTTTATATCTTACAAAATATCAAAATATTGAAAGCAGATGGTCCTAAACCAAAACAGGCTTGACTTAGGTTTGGAACCTATTATGCAAAAAGCTGGTTCTTTGAACTTTTAATTTGGAACCTAAAGGTTTTAGAGCCTAAGCCAAACCTAAACTAAATTTACCACTCCTAACCGGACGATTACGGACTGAGAACCGAAAATCATTCGGTCCTTTGTTCGTTATCGTCCGGTCCGAGTCTTTTCGAAGATCGATCCACTCCTATCTTCTTTCTTTGCTTTATAAATGGCGATGGCAAATCATCATCGTCCATATTCCATAGGTTGGATCCTTGCGAACTCTGTTGTAATCGTTTTTGAGGAATTATACTTGATATCGATGTAATATTCCTGGGTCGTGCTTCTAATGGAGGATATATTAGTTTTCTCAGCCTGGTCTTCGGTAATTCCTGCTGCAAGACAGGAGCTTTCACAACCATCCCACAATTTGAACTTGATGTAACTTTCTTTTGTGCACAAACGACCTTCTGCGCAAATGTTTCGCTCTTTTTATTTGAGTTTATCTCAGAAGACGAAAGATCAATATTTTCACGATCTTCGGATGGATTGTAAAGTGAAGTGACTTCATTATTTGTAATCGTCTCAACTTGTGCAATAACCTGAAGCGTATCATTAATTTTATCACATTTGTTTTCGTTTATCAAAGGCTGCTCTTTAATACATGATACTTGTGTCTGAAGAGAAACTATTGTTCGCTGTTCAAGTAATGCTGTATCTCGCGTCTTATTAAATTCATCAATTTGATGCTGAAGGTCATCATGGCGGCGTTTTAACTCTGATTCTTGAGTTTGAAGAATTTGCGCCTGCAAGTCTTTCTGTCGCTTAAGCTCTAAAAAGCCGTTATTTAATTCCTCTTTTTGCTGCAAAAGATTTGCATATTCAGCTTTGAACTCCTCCTTTTGTCGTTGAACTTCCATATTAAACTGTTCTGTGTGAAGTTTAGCCTCATTGGCAAATTGCTGTTTTTCAAAATCTAATTGCTGTTTGCATTGTTGGAGTTCTGCAAACCTTCGTCTTAATTCCTCCTCTTTATTTGCTACCATCATTTCACGTCCGTTTAAAGCTATCTCCCGTTGTTTAAGTTCTTCTTCTCGACGTGTTATATCCCTACTAGGATGCATCATCTTTAGTAATTCCATAGTCGTAGGCCTTTTGTTCGGATCAACCATTAACGTTGCTCTAATTATATTATTAAGTTCTTCTGAATAGCGTGATGGTAAAGGCGGAATCATGCCAGCACTGATTTTTATTGCCAAACTAGGTTGTGATTTTGCTTGGAACGGTGGTTGTAAAGCACAAAGCTCATAAAGCAAACACCCAAGAGACCAAATATCAGATTTAGTATCATAATGTGATTCAGTTATCAGTTCAGGCGACATGTAATAAGGTGTCTAGAAAATTATATATATCTGACCAGCGATTAGTTTATATAAATAATTCTTTTAACATAGAAGAATTCGTAAATACTTACACCAACATACGTTTGCGCCAACTCTCGGTCTAAATTCAACTTTCTCGACAGACCAAAATCGCCCAATTTAAGTTTATTATCACTACCCAATAATACTGCGTAATCACCAAGGTTACGAAAAATGAATTCATAAATATAATTGATATAAGAATGTTTATAAAGAATCGAAGAAAGTTAGATAAAAAGCGCACCATTTTCTGGCTTTATGTCACGATGTAATATCGTAATGTGTTGTTGGCTATGATCAGAATCACATTTACTATTACCATAGCCATAATGACATTCATGAAGCGCCTGCAATATCTGAGTAAAGAAGAACCAGATCGTACTTTCAGACAAATAATTCCTGAAAAATTGAATAATTAAATATAGTAATATCAAAAAATTAGAGCACTAACTCAGCGAAAATATTACACACCCTTCCTTTCTACATTTCTTGATTATCGATGAAAGGTCGCCTCCTTCGCAATATTCCATTATAATGTAAATCATACAATTTGTATTATCAATGTATCGATCATAGTATCGCACAATATTAGGATGTTTAAGTTCGCGGAGAATATTAACTTCTGATACAAGTTGATTCCTTTCTTTATCGTTCATACGTCGATAGTCAATTTCTTTGCGTGCTAATATCTAGAATTTTTAAATAATAGATAAATTATCGTAAGTTAATTGTTCGTTATATTCTAAATTAACACTTTAAGAGCATAAATTCTTTGAGTTGCTGTTAAGAGCATCGCGAAATGATATTTAACATACCCTACTATCGGATTTTCGTCTTACTTTGCGAATGAGGCCGAAAGATCCTGTGCCAATAATCTCCAAAGGTTCATAATTATCCATTACCAGTATATATTTTTAATAAAAAAAGAAAATTTATGACTTTATATAACCATTGATTAATTAGGCATGGATAATAGCCTGATTACGCGTATGTTTCGTGTTTTTTAGCCCAAATTTGGTCGATCGTTTTTAGTATTTATTTCGATTAAGAGGTCGAACTTAAAAGTGATTCTGGCTAATGACGAAAAACAAATTGGTTGATTTTTTTTTAAAAAAAAGTGGTCATTAGTAATAACTTTTAATCTATTAGTCTATTTTAAATAATTTTATTAACAAACCTCAAATTGTAGATCATTAATAAAATTATTTAACCAATAAATTATCTAAAATAAATGTTTATATGATGCAAACAATAAAAACAGCTTATTTTTACATTTTTTGAAATTTTGCTTTTTTTTTATTTTTTAATAGATATACTAGGTAGAAAAATTTTTGTTATTTTTTAAACTGTATTTTAAACAAATTTGGTTTTTTTTGTTTTTTCTACTTAGGTAGCCATGTTGATGGTTTTTATTAAGAAAAATATTAACTTTATTACTAATAGTACAAGCTTAATTTCTAGGTTTTAACTTGGTTGTTTTTAAAAGTGCTTAGAAGTGACTTACTATATTAGGCAGTAACAAGTCATCATTTGAAAGGTTATTGTTAATTGTTATTTACAATAAAGTATTACTAATCTAATAATTTTTTTTTGTAGAAAAGTGAAAAAAACAAAAAAAATTAATTTAAATTAAACTAAAAAGGTTATAAAAAGAAAAAACAATAAACAAAAATGTTAAAAAGTATGTTTTTTTATAACTATTTCAGTAAGGTTATTAATATTTTAATCTGATTTAAGAATTTAATTATATTTTAATTTGTATTAAAAGATAAAAATTTATATACATAATTTGAAAATTATTATATATTTTTAAATTTAATATAATTCTTTAATTATTTTTTAGGTTATATATATAATTATTGTATTTCTATTATATTATATTACAATATATAAGAGATATAGTAACCTAATGAAGTAAACAGATTGTTAACTTTTAAGTAACAGGTTTAGAGTTCAAATTTCAATAATAGCAGAAATTTGTAATTTTTTTTTGTATTATAGTTAACTGTTTTCTGTAATTGGTTAAGATTAAATATCTGTAATCTGTGTTATATCAGTATAATTGGAAGGTTTAGGCATTTGTATAATATTGTATAAAGAAATACAACCTAGTATCAGATGATGTGAACCTATAATAAGTTCTTAGAATATGTAAATTACAAGAACCAAATAAGAAATAAAAGTTTACTTGAAAGACTTGAATAGAGAAGTAGTTTAATTCAATAATACTACTGTAAAAACTAGATCTATAAAACAGAATTAGAGCTTATAAAACTAGACAAAAAGTCAGCCTTTAGGAAAAAACTAAATAAAACTAATCAGACTATTAGAATCTGTTTTTAAAAAAAAAATTACATACTAGAAAACATATAAATCAGAGATATAATTATTATCTACCTCTTTAAACTATTTAGTTTAAGTGCTTGTAAAACTTGAATTAAATATCAAAGTAATAGAGATATGTTGTAAAGTTAATACTAAGATTGGAATAAACTTTATAAGAGCATAACAGTTTAATAGTACATTCTGACTGCATGTGTTAGTTTCAGTTATAACAATACTAAGTCAATTGTAAGAATAAAATACAAAAAATGCTAGAAGGTTTAGTATAAGGTTAAAGGTTCTTTATATGAATAAACTGCTTTAAAGACTTAATGATCATAATATATTTTTAATAGTATCAGTTAGAATTAGACAAACTACTCATGGATTTAACTAAAAGATATAATAGCAGTCTAATAACAACATATATCAATAGAACATACTGGGCTATTAATAGTGTGCAGAATGGTATGTTCATTAAACAAGCAGGTGAAATGTATATATTGCCCAGCAGAGAAGACAAAATTGTTGCTATGTTGACAAATCAGAATTCAGAAAAAGTTGCTCTATTAAGATTAACAAGAGAATTAATAGATAAAGCAGAAAAAGAGCAACCAGAAAGAAAATTAAGTATAGTAGAGCAAAGCAACTATGCAATGATACTAGAACCCATCCTAGAACAAGGTCAAGACGAACTTAAGAAAAAATGTAACCAAACTGCAAGAATAAAAGAGTCACAAAAGATAGAACAAGACCAAACACCAAAAGAGGAACCAAAGAAAAGAAAGAATCATGAAGCAAGGGTCCAAGAAACCGACAAGATATTGCAGAAAGAAGAGGCAGCAAAGGTAAGTACTAATAACAACAGCAAGATGGAAATAGAACAAATTCAACGAAAACAAGAGAATCTGCCTAGCCAAAAAAGAACCACAGGAAAACAAAGAGAGGATCAAGAACAAGAAGTCATTGAACTGAACTTCGAAAGGGAAATTGATATAGTAGAAGAGCCTCTCAAAGAAAGCATATGGGCCCCAAGCAAGAGAAATTGTAACCAGAACAATAGTCTACTTGTGAATATATCAGCACACAATGTGCCAGGAAAAACGAAAGAAGAATGTATGAAGTTTATTAAATGGTCTCTAAGAAATAATATACATGTCAAAGATGTAAAAGAAATTTTCAAAAGAGGAAACCTATAGGTAAAAGTTAACTTTGACTGTGAGTATGGCAGAAATGATGCTATACAGAGAATCAGCAAAAAGGAGAGTGACTAGTATAGAATGATATCAGAAGAAAAAGAAAATACTATAAAGAGACAGACACAATATGTGAAAAAAAGTCAAAGAAGAGACAGCAGCAAATTGAGAATCAAAGAAGAAGAAGTCAAAAGAAAAAGAAATAAAAGCAAGACAAACAAAAACCAACATGAAGCAAATGAAGAATTAGAGAACACAAGTCATATAACAATTTGGGACCTATCTGCAGATATAAATGAAAGAGAACTAGAATACATCTGTAGAAGATTTAGAAAAGTCCATATAGTAAGAATTAAGAAATCCAAGTACAAAGCCTTAGCTGTGATCAAGATTGAGAGAACATACGAAGACATTCCATAGGCAATACCAGTAAATAATGATAAACTGGTTCAAGTAACCAAGGGAATAAAAGACCATGAAGCTAAAGAAGAACAAAGAAAATATGCAGAAAAACTGACAGAATTACCAGGAAGCACCTCTGAAGTCTTACTACTACAGAGCTTGAGAAACAAAGGTGCCAAATCGGTTTACATTCTACCAAATAGAAATGGGAACCAAAAAAGATCAGCAATAGTCATGTTTGCAACAGAAAGAGACATAAGAGCTGCCCAAACAAAGCCGATTATGTATAACACTTTTGAGTCTACTGGGTAAACAAAGGAAAAAGAGAAACAAAGAAAAGAGAAAGTTTTGAAGTAGAAAGAGAAAGAAGCTGGGACAGATACAGCCAGACCTCATATACAGAAGAGAATAGAAGCAGCAGAAAAAAACAAAAGAACAGGACCTATAGAAAAAAGTACAGAAATAGAAATAGCACAAGCCAAAAGAACTTCTTGTTAAATGAAAGAAGCAGATCTCAAAGCCAAAGTACAGAAAATCAAATAAAAGATGCAAAGAAGAAGAAAGAAGAAATAGAAGATCATGAAGAAAGACTAGGAAAATTCAAGACACATAAACAAGAAGAAGAACCATGTATAGAGAACTTTTTAGAGCAAATTTGGAGGAGATTAGAAAGACTAGAAGAGACAAGAGAGATAGCTAGAGAGAGCCTAGCTAATCGCTCCTGAGGGCACCTTAGTTGAACTTAGGAACAGGAATGAAGAGATCGAAGATTTTTTGCATGATGAAAGAAGGATCTTTAAAGAAAGAAATAAAGAGAAATCTTCTAATCCAAAAGAAACAGAGAGAAGAAAAGAGAAAGGAAAAGCAGAAAATACA